AAAGAAAGAAAGAAAGAAAGAAAGAAAGAAAGAAAGAAAGAAAGAAAGAAAGAAAGAAAAAGGATTAAACAGAAGGAGGAAAAAAGAAAACTTAGAAAAAGAAGCATTTTTTAAATGATGCATTTATTGTCTCCAGGAAAAGAAAAAAAATGTGCAAGACAGCAAAGAACATGTAGTTAAAGAATACTACTTGGCTCAGCTGTGGACAGTACACACGTAATCATAATGTAGCTTCTGAATATTGATTTTACCAGAGTTGTATGAAAGAGTCCATATGATTGCAGAAATCCAATGGATAATGTCTAAAGGTTGATAAATCAAGAGATATGGTGGAAGCCTATTTCAGGCCATGGGAAGAGAAATACATGGAGGAGCATTCTGGCAAATTGAAAGCTCTGGGGGTGGTAGGGGGTATGAGCCATTGCTCTTTGATTATAAGCTTTATAATATTTGACATTTCAGATTCATTTTGGTAAAGAATAAATAATACATTTAAAAAAATAAGATACACTCATTCAAAAATGGAGCCATTTGGCATTCAAACGTGCGTCTTACAGCCCCCCGAGGACATCAGAGAACAAATAATGTTCGCTTCAGTGGTCTTGGATGGTCAAGAAAAGGTTTGATTTTGCTCTGCATGTTCTGCTTTAGAGAGACAGAGGTGATCGTCTCCATCAAAATGCTGTGGGCATAGTTATATGGGGGAGAGTACTGATGTAGACTGTCCTCTCCCTATATGGGAAAAAGGGTTGTTCACCTCCCTTCCTCATCTCCCAGTCAGTCTCATCCCATGTCCAGAAGAATGAAGGGCTGACTGGCCTCAGACTGACTTGACCTGGTCCAGAGCTCTTATCTTCATCAGAAGCCATGGATCTGCCACACTCTTTTCTGCCAGGCAGAAGGGACCTGCAGGCAGTTTCCTGCAAGCCCCTTATCCTCAGATGGTTGCATTGAAGTCAGTTAGTGAAAGTCACCAGTCCCCAGAGCAGATTCCTCTGTGGTAGAAATTAACCTCCCCAGGCCCAGAGGCTGCAGTGGTGAGTGGGAAGGACACAGGAGAGCGTTTCCTTTACTTGTTCTAATACCATAGAGACCCCAGTGTTTTGCAGTGGCTGGTATTTTCCTGGTTGGGTGTCAGTAAGCAGGGACAGCCAAATAAAAGTCACACTGACCAGTCGCCACAAGAGTTGCTTCAGAGTTTGTTAGCTGGTTTGTGCATTTTACTTGGTAATCTTTTTGTTATCAGGTATATGGAAGGGGGGATTATAGCATCACGTCCCAGGCTAGAATGAGGCTTTTTGTTTAAACCATGACATACCAAAGACTGTGTTTCCCAGGATTTTAGCGTATTAGAACAATTAATGCTAAATGATAATATTTTGACATGGCGTTATAAAGGAATGGGTGGCTCTTGTATCTCTGGTTATGAACCTTGAGCAGAGCTATTGGGAGATTTTTTTTTTTTTTCCTGCAGTGGAATTGTTTGAATAACATTCAGGGCAAGCAAGTAGCATTTGAGAAATTGGGATTTGGAAGATAATAGTGAGCCAGCCACATATAGGGAGATCCTTTGACATGTGGAAACAGAAGTTGCTGGAAATGGAAGAAGCCCCTGACTCAGTGCACAGATGGATTGTGAAGATTGGTAATGCAAAGGACAGTCTTCCTCATTTCTCTCCATCTTACCCTCCCCACTTACCACCCCCCCCCGCCTCCTTCCTTCCTTTCTTCCCTCTCCTTCCTTCCTTTCTTCCCCTACTGCTCATGCCTCATTCCCTCCCTCTCCCCTCCCCCAATTACCACAACAACTTTGGAAGTCTTACTATGTGCCTGGCATTGGACCGCATGTGTTTTAATAATTACATATAGAATTTAATAATTTCAGTAATATGTGAGTTTTAATACTTCAATAATATTTGCACCATTATACATATCAAAAAAAAAACAACAACAACAACAACAACAACAACAAACTGAGGCTTAGAACAATTAAGTAACTTGCCTAGAGTAGCCTAACTAGCTAGTGGTAGAGCATGGATAGAAAATTAGGCAGGCTGACTCCAGGGCTTCTACTGCATGTGCAGCACATCGTGAGCACACAGGTCTGTTAGCCATGAGCTTGCTGATCATACCCATGTTGGTGGTGGGGAATGCACAGAATGAACCACAGAGCAGTGAAGTGATTCGCTCAAGGTCATACACTGGTCAATGGCAACAGAGTCTATCCTGTTCTCTCACTCCAGGTAGCTCCTCTCTTCAGTGCCAGCTGGCTGAATATAAGAAGAATTAGTACATTAACTTCTAGAAACATAGAACTTCCTGTCTGGGTTCCGGGTTCTGAATCCTTACATTACTTGAGTTGATTTTAAGTTTTAAGTAGAACTCTTAAGTACTGCCAAAAGCAATGCCAAAGAATCTCTTTGAGGCTAATATTTGTTATGTAATGGACAGAAGATGGAAGCCTATGACAATATTGAATTTCTTCTTCTCTTAACTAATCAAAAAACAAAACAAAGCAAAAAGTTTACCATTAGGCAGAATTTTAATCTTAAGTCATTATGGGGGGATTCCAGTGAATCAGTGGTTGCCCTGATGAAACAGAAGGTAAACCATTCTGGGGCCCCTGGGTGGCTCAGTCAGTTAAGTGTCAGACTTTGGCTCAGGTCATGATCTCACGGTTCTTGAGTTTGACCCCACATTGGGCTCTGTGCTGACACCTTGGAGCCTGGAACCTGCTTCAGATTCTGTGTCTCCCTCTCTCTCTGCCCCTCCCCCATTCACTCTCTGTCTCTCTCTCAAAAATAAATAAACATTGAAAAACTTTTTAAAAATAAAGTAAACCGTTCTTTCCTCAGGGCCTGGGTGGGATATGGGTATTGATTATCCATTTTAGAAGCTCACCTTGGGCAAGAGCTCCTGTCCTAGTGTGGGGGAGAGAGATGATGACTTCTTCATCAGGGCAACCACTGATTCACTGGAATCCCCCACAAAGGATTGGGTGATGGAGACCATGATTTCAGATCTTCAGTCTATGGAAAGAATGCCTTCATGGAGGCTGCCTATCAGCACTGGCCGGCCACTCTACCACATGCAGGTGCTAGGCTGGGCTCATGAATCTTCTCCTATACCCCGCCTGCTTTAGAAGGAAAAAGACATCAACCATCCCACAACCCTTCTACCTCCTTGACCTCATTTTTTTCATTTCACCTTGGTGAAGCCCATCTATAGTCTTTTCAAGGCTCAGCTTAAGCTTTAACAAATATCTTTGCTTCCCACTCAACAGCCTCAAGCTATGAATACTCTTACCATTCAGGAAAGTTCCCCACAGGCTTTGTGCGCAGCTCCTTAATTATCTGTATTGTTCTCTGCCTGGTATTATTTGTGTGCCCATCGTATTGTTCCCATTAGAATCCAAGGCTTTAAAGAGGAGTCTTGCTTATCTTTGCTTTCTGCACAGCTCTGGGGACAATGTTTTTCTGGGTTTGGGACTCCATGCATGTTATAGAGTTTTCAGGCAGATAAGTGCCATGTGGTAACAAAGGTTTGGAACAATGAGAATGACTACACACATCCTTTTTCTAACAACAGCTATCTGGATACTGACATGTTCTGGCAGCAATCATATTTCAGTTTATGGCTTTAGTTTACTCCAGGAAAGAGAGAACATCTAAGCCAGAGGTTGACAAACTGTCGCCACATCTGGCGCTCTGCCTGTTCGCTTATGGCCAATGAAATAAGAATAGTTTTTATATCTTTAAACGATCAGGGGAGAAAAGGAAAAACAATATTTTATGACACAGTGAGATCATGTTAAATTTAAAATTATTTGGAATTCAAATGTCACTGTCCGTGAATAAAGTGTTACTGGAATACGGCCATACCCATTTGTCTGTGTACTGTCTATGGCTGTTTTGCACCAAAACAGCAGTTACCAGTTGAGTAGTTACCACAGAGCCTGTACATCCCACAAAACCTAAAATATTACCATCAGACCCTTTGTAGAAAAAGTGTGCCAGCCCCTATTTCGAGTCATTTTCAGAAATACCCTCCACAGTGTGGAAATGGATTGGGGTGCCCTTTTTGACAAAGGAAAACTGGATGAAGGCACAAAATATCTGAAGGAGGAGAAATTTGGGAACAAGAAAGGGGAGGCAGAGGCCTACTCGGAGAAGCCACATCTCCTAGGTCTGGTATACATATCTGGCAAATATCTCCACAAAGAGACTATTTCAGTCTGAATTGTACCCGGCTTCTCTCATCAGGTGGACGTGCCAGAGGGGCTGACCTCAGGTATTTTATACAAGTTTTCTGCACTCCATTAAGTATTTTTCATGGTTCTTTTGAAGAAATTATAAATGAGAAAGGGTGAAATTAGGAGATTACTGATCATTCCTGATCATTCTGTATACCAAGGGTAACTAACACCTGTCGTAAGATCTAAAGGACTCTTTATCGCCGGGTTATCTCTGAGTCGAGTGTGTGTGTGTGTTAGTGAAATCTATTTTAAGTATGTGTTGGTCTCTGTGGGTCTCTTTGGAAGAAATCCATTTTGGATGAATTCCAATTAATTATGTATGTGGGGATCATTAAACACTTGGAGTATTCAAATAAATACACATCAGTTAGAACTTAGTGAAAGCCAGTTCAGGTCCTTGGAGAGTTGTGGTTACAGTTTTTCATTTAGAAATCTGCCATTTTCATGTGTTTCTCTTATTTTCTTATTACAGGGTAATGCCCTGTACTTCAAATCAGCCAGAAATGTTACAGTGAACATTCTCAATGACCAGACTAAAGTGCTAACTCAGCTGATAACAGGTAAGACAATAAAGAACGTAGCAGTACCTGGTCCACGCGAAGCACTCAGAAAACATTAGAACCAAAGATTGAATGAAATATCACATAAACTAAAGAAAGAAATGTCTGCTAAGACATTTTAGAGTGGAGAAAGAGAAGGTAGCATGTGTTGCATGATTCCACTGGAGGGTAGAGTCTCATCATATGCACACATTTAACTTATGCAAATCCAACAATACTTGTTTAGAAGGGCAATAAACTATTTTTTCACGTAACGTGGCCCCTAAACATAAGCCAGCTGCTTCATCTGGTGCTCAACAACAGAAAAGCTCTCTGCTCCAATGCTGGAGGAAAAGCTGGCTGTGTTGGATTAATTGAGAGCACAGAATACAAAAAAACCATGCGCACGTACTTTATGAGGTATAAAGGGGATTTTTAAAGTTAATTTGAATCCATGCCATGTTTGTGATAGGTGCTGACTTTGAGCCTGACCCAACTGCAAAATGCCAATGTACTGCCATTGATTATGGTTGCGAGGTTCCTTTCAATATAGCAGATCTGCTCCTAACAGTTGTGGAAAGCACCCACTGGGCTTTAAGCTGCATATTCCTAAAATTTAAACAAGGATTGGTTATTCACTATAATGATTATAATGATAAACATGGGCCTGATGGTCACGGTAATGTGTTGAATGGCACGACCAATGCCCCCAGTGTAGATTATGGGCTGCAGTAAACAGGAGCCATTATGCACCCCGCCAGTGGAAGGGAAAAAGGGGTATGTATCTGAATGGCACTGTTACACTTCCAGAGAGAAAATGCCATTTGTTTGGCTTCGGGGCTGAGAGAGAAGTATACAGATGGACATTTTGAGAAGCCAGTTGCCCAAATGCCCTGAAACATAAACTGTGACTAAAACATCTGGAGCCACACTAATAAACATGCCACAAGAAAACAGGTGCTTTGTGCCCAGAGTCTTGCTGGGGAGAGAGTCTCTGTTCCCCACAGGAGCACCGCATCTGATGTCTGGAGATTCACAGCCAGTGGGTGTATTAGACCATCTACCAAGGCTAGAAGGGATTGCCGCACGGCAAAGCCCATAATCCATAAACATGTTGTTCCAGTGTGTGACTGGATTGTTGGCCTTGCTTATATAACATCTGGCCTGTAGTCACAATGCTAAATAATTAAATAAACAGCTTCAGTAAGCAATGATTTAAGCAGCATGTGTGAGAATTGCCTCCAGGAGGGAAATAAATCCAAACTCCCCGTTCCTGATTCCTCTGTTCAAAAGGAACCTACTTAGCCTGTTGATCATTTGCCATTTATTTGCCATGGGAGATTTGGTTTACTTGAGAGATTTTGTTTTGATAAAGCTGGAAGTGCCCAAATGACTATTCTTCAGTCAGTGTCTCTTCCCCTCCCTCTCCCTCCTAGCCTTCTCCTTTCCCTGCTTTTCCCCTAATTCCTCTACTTTCCTCCCCATCCTCTCCCCCTCCTTGTCTCCTCTCCTCCACCCTTGCTTTCCATCATCCTCGCCCTTCTCCCTTCCCTCCCCTACCCTCTTCTCTTATTTCTCTCAGCCTCTGTCTTTCCCTCTCCTTCTTCCTCCCCCATCTCTCCATTCTCTCTCTCCCTTTTTCTCTCCCATTTGCTCCTCTCTCCCTCCTTCCTTGTCTTCTGTCTTCCCATCTCCCCTGCCCAAATTAGACCCTCCTGGAAGCTGAGATACCTACCCAGAGCTCTCAGGGTGAGGCATGACATAGCTCATGTTATAATGAGATGGGCAAAAAGCCACTCTAACACCAGCTGGCAGGAGCCTTCCAAGATGATCTCTAGAGAAGATGATAGATGTATTTAAATATAATTCTGAGTACGTATACATATGCACACTCACCCTAAAGTTTTCCTTCAGGCTTCTCCTTTTACATTTAAGCACGTGGTAGAAAGCACAGAGCAGTTCCAGGAGACAGGATCTTCTAAAACCTCTTATACTTGCTGTTATACTTACCCGAGAGCAAATGAGATGCTCTCATCCCAGTAGCCAGGTTCACCAAAACAATCCTGAGGATCAAGAATTCTCCTGCTTACCTCACGAAGGTCTCAAAAGCCCAGAAGAAATTCCAATGTTAGAAATTCAGGTAAATTTTTCACATGATAGAGTGCTGTAAGTGATAGTTAAGTTCTCAGGCAAGGCCGTTAAAGCACATCTGGCCAACTCTGCTGCCGATTTAGTGTCCTCTCAGTAGTGGCCTGAACAGAAAGCCCTCTGGCCTGCAAGGAGGAAAGCTGTAGGCAAGTCTTCCGCAGAGTGGACAACAGTCTCAGCATCAAGGGAGCTGAGAAAGGAGATTAGACAAGATGGCCCCTTTCCAGCTCCCAGATCCGTAGCATTGGCATGACTGGGAAACTGCTGGTATGTCCCGATGGTTTCCAGTTCTTCCTGTGTAGGAGATTCATTAAGGAAGTAGTTGACACATATTACCCGGCACCGAGGGAGATTAATTGGAGTAGTTTCGGGCTTCAAATAATGATTTTTTTCCATCCTAGAGAGGAAGAGTGGGTTCCCTGACGGACCTCCTGAGCAGTCTCCAGACCTATTTCCCATTTTCATTTCCTCCAGGACCCTTGTTTTTTTTTTTTTTTTGGGGGGGGGTTGTTTTGTTTTGTTTTGTTTTTAAAGATTTTAGCCACATCCAGGACATTTGGCAGCCCCAGGTAAAATCAACAAAAGAACAAGCCATCTGCACCATTGAGCCAGCAGTTGCTCTGTGGGGTTTTGGCTAGAACTTCCAACTACAGAGCTTTATATGTGCAAATGGTTCTGGCCCTTGATAAATTCCTTTGTGTTCTGAGAAGCTCTGAAAAACAAGATAACTTAATTGTGTTTTGAGTTATCTGATTGTTTCGGTGTTTTTAGGACATTCTCTCATACGTTTCAGGAACCAGTCATAAGTTCAGAGCAAACTTGCTTTAAACAGGCAGGTGTTCTCAACTCCTCCAGGGCCATATCTCATGAAACTGCCCAGATCCACGGAGACAAAGGCAAAGCAGTTTTGTCTCCCAGTCATACCCCCATTTTGCCATTGACTAGATCCAGAGTGTCAAACTGTGCTCACCCCATGCCTATCCCAAGGTCATTCATTCATTCATTAACACTTCTTCACCTCCTGGTACCCAGTCTCCCCCCTCTGGTATGACCAGAGAGTCTTCAGTATGACCAAGTAGATACCTGCATCTTTGCCCTCCAAGAATCACCTAATCAAAAGCCCTCACTTCCATCCCTGTTCTTTCAGGATTGTTTTCTGGTCCTTGTCTGTAGCTTTCGACGCCCCCTCTCCCTATCCTCCAAAAGGTCCCCTCCTCACTGCTCCTCCTGTGTTGACTCCAGCTGTCTTCTCCTCTCTAGACAAACACACATCCCTTTTCTTCTATGGAACAATTCTGAGAGCTCAATTCCAGACCCAGATCTTCCATTAGCTGACCTCATGACCTTGAGAGAGCCCTTGGCTCTGCTGCCACTTGTTTTCACCTACACATGAAGGCCATTGGAGAAGATAATGCCTCGGTCCCATGCCATTTAGAAAGTCTCTGCTGTGTCTGCTGTTTCCATTTCCTATTCATTCAGGAGCCTTTCCAATGCCCTTCTTTTTGTCAGAGGGCTGGTGTGGATGTACTAGTGGGAGATCACACTTCCAAATTGGCAGGATTATGTGAATGAGGCAAGTGCACTAAGAGGTGATTGTCATTAATTATTTTCAATGTGTTGGGACCACTGTATTAGAAACTTGGTGACAGGTCATGATCACAATGATGATAGTCATGATTTCGCAGCACTTTCCCACCTACAGAGTGCTTTTTATAAATATAGTATAATTTGATCCTTTTAATCTTTCTATAAGGTAATAGAAGAGATGGTGATAGTACAATTCTACAGATGCAGAAAAATGAGGTTCAGAAAGATCAGAGGATTTTCCCCAAGTCACATGACCAGAAAATGAGAGAGTTGGAACATAATTCTTGTCTTCTGATTCTTAGTCTGATAGTCTTGTCGTTGAGGAAAACACCCCTAGACGTCCAGGAGCAGTCCTGGCAATATAAGCCAGTCTTTTGTGTTCTCCTGTTTGAACATAATCCACTTCGCAGAACATCAGCACCAGACAAGGCAACGTGGCAGTCATGAAGGATCAAGACAAAACAGAAAACAAAGACAACTCTAATCATGTCTGAAAACAGATAAAAATGGAAACACCTATCCAAACCAGCAAAATGACTGAACTTCTTCAATCCTGGTTAATATCAGTGACTTCTGTTTTTTATCCATTCCAGGTTTAGCATTGCTCTGATCTTCCCCACCTCTAGATAAGATTTATTAACATGCCAATTGTAAAATTACACCCACTTCCTGTCAGCACCTTATCCAAAGCAAAGCCTTGCTTCCTTAAATTCAGCCCCAAAATAACTTAACATAAAACCAAATACTATAGTAAGGTCTTTCTTACTGAGATGCCCTGAGTGGTTGCCCCTGGTGTGTGTTCTCTATCACAACAATGAATAATAAACTCAACTTGTTCACCTATATGTTTGTTCTCTTTGGTCTATACCTGGAAGGCATTGAGGGCCCTTTCATTACTGCTTTTTATAATTAAATGACACTGTCTTGAAAATAACTTGAAACAGAAATGCTCTATCAGAATCTCCTGATCAGCTTTGGGAAAATATAAGATTTCTAGACTCTTTCCTCCATTTTTTTTCTTTATGAATTTCTGGACCAAAAGATAAATTCTTTTTGATCTGAGTGAGGTTCTGTGAAGATGATTATACATCCCAGGTTATTCTGATTAATTTCTGCAGACCAGCTTTTGAGAACCACCTGAACTTGAGATATTCAGTTAGCTCTAGTTCAGATAAACTACAATGCCTTCTGTTTGGTTTTTTGTTTGTTTAAGGAATTCTAACACATTAGTTTGTTTTATTTTTTCCATGGTACCCAAAACTCTGCAGTTTTCTGATTTACTAATAAATGTCTAAACCTCTATTTGGGTTCATCAGAAGATGCCACTACAATAGCTTCCCTTCAAGGATAGCATTTGTTGCCATATGATAAATCCTCTAAAATTTCTTTTTTATTGAGTGAAATTGTAGCATAAAAGATTCAATAACTTTCTGGTAATTAATTGCCATATATTTTCTGGCCTTTTCTGCCAGGAAATGATCTATATATACTGAGGAAATAGACTTGTCTGGTATCAAATACAGCCAATGGTTTAAGGGTACCGGCTGAGACAGACTTCAATTGAATTTAAAGGCACCCTTTCCAAGAGTTAGAGCTGGCCATAGATATTCCGATTACTTCAAGAGGTGGTGAACTTTCTATGCCTTGGTACTTTCAAGCCAAAATCTACAAGTATTTGATAGTAATTTGGTAGTTAGCTAAGGGAAACCTCATTCAAGCATTAGTTTGAAGAAGGGACACGATGGTCTTTAAAATCAGCCTGAGAGCACATGATTAAAAGTAATTGACAAGACATGGCCAGAGTCACAAGACTAATTTTCATGATTGGCTCGTGAAAAACAATCCACTTATATTAAAGTCCCACACAACCTCATCAGATGCATGTGTCCTGTGAAAAACTCTTTGTAATTGAATGCAATGAGACTAATGTCTCTCTCTCTCTCTCTCTCTCTCTCTCTCCCTCTCCCTCTTCCTCTCCGTGCCCCCCCCCCCCCCATTCTAGGTCCAAAAGCCGTAGAAGCTTATGGCAAAAAGTTTGAAGTAAAGACAGTTTCTGGAAAATTGCTCTTTTCTGCAGATAACGATGAAGTGGTAGTAGGAGCTGAGAGATTAAGAGTTTTAGGTAAGGAAACTTTGATCATATAATTGATATGATGCCAATGTATACATTTTAGAGGAAAAGGGAAATGTTGCCTTGAAGAGAGATTTAGGCCAATTACCTGGATTCTCTTAAAGTAAGGTAGATGAACTCCCCCACCCCCTAAACTCAGAATTTGGTACCCCAGTGAAAAGTTCTCAAGTCAGGAGGTTTTGTGACATGACTACCAACACAGAGCTTCATTTGGGGGAACATGTTCATGCCAACAAATATGCATGAACACATACTGTCCTCTCAGGCAGTTTTGGTAGAAGCAGTCAAGACCTACATACATGATACGGAGATTCCTAAACTGGGTTATAAATTAAGAATTGCCTAGGGAACTTCTGAAAAGTCACATGGATCCAACTGTGACATGCTGAATTAGAAGTTCTGGTGGAAAGACCCAAGAATTAATTGGTGACAACATTTGCAGGAATATCTATGGTGCCACTCTTGCAATCACTGGATTGGAGCACACAACAAATTAGTCTTCTGTAGTTACAGTGAAATGGTCTAATATGGTGGTTTCAGAGTCCTGGTGTTGGAGCTAATCTGTCTTGTGTCCCTGCTCTGTCACCAATTAGCTGTGTGACTTTGGGCAAGGTATTGACCTCACTGAGCCAGTTTTCTGTCCTGCTCAGTGGGACTATGAACACCTACCATCTCAAGTTGTCCCTAGGATTAAATGACTTCATGTTTTATCAATCAGGTATTTTGAATTCAGCATGCTTGACTTTAAAGCACTATACCTTGCTACCTCCTCAAATTTGTCCCAATTTCAGATAAGTACACAAACGCTTACCAACAGTAAAGAAAATGGTCTAAGATCAAGCTACCAGTTGAAATCCTTGCCCAAGGACTCCAGACTCAGCATACCTAAATGCCTATAAATATGTTCTAAGACCTTGGCCAACCCTTAGTATTAATGTTTTTCTCTGTTACTTGTAGAAATAGCACTTCTCACATGAGTTCTACGTTTTGGGGGGTGGTGGAGGAAACAAACACAAAAATTTCTGGCTCTCCTTTTGTTAAAGAATACTTAGCTATACCAGCTATAAAATAATTGCCCAGGGGAAAAGTGATGGTATCTCCTGCTAAGATAATTGTGTACAAATGGAGTTTGGTACCTCCCGTTAGTTCTTCGGCACTTTGTGAGTCACCTCACTTCTTTAAAATCTGAATCTTCAAAGATTCAGAATAATTTTAGATGTCCAAATGCTTTGGCTTTACCTTCCTGTGCAAAACTCTGTGATGGTATCATTTAAGAACTTTCCCCTTCCCCACCCTACAATTAAGTAGGACTAGAAGATTATTGTAATTTTTGGTCATTTGAAAGCAGGTGGATATTTTGTTGTTGTTGTTGCTGCTGTCATTGCTTATGCTTTTGATATTTTACTTAGAGAACAATTTAGGAAAAGATCTATCTCTCTCCATCATCAGGAACATTTGCTTTTTCATGTTAAAATGTAGAAAGGAAGCATCATGATAAATACCACTGTTGCTATCAATGCTAAAAAGATTAGGAAATGACCACCCTACAAATCTCGCATCAACCTACTCAGTGAAATGAGCTTAGTGTGTTGCAGAAATGAGCTTCCTGTCAGCTGGGATTCAGCCATATGGTGTGGAACGAGAAGTTTAGGCAATTTCATTTTCTGCTTAATGAGAAGTTTGTCTTTTTGAGTCATCAGACTGAGCAAGTTCTCAGGAGCTTTGAATCTGGATGCATATTTCATGGTGGAGTCTAACATAGCTGGATTTGAATCCTTGCTCAAACATTTAGGATTAGAGTGACCCTACCCAAATCTGTTTTTCTCTCTAACATTTAGTTTCCACATATACAAAACAAAGAGAGTGGAGTGGTTCCGTTTGTTAAGCGTCCGACTTTGGCTCAGGTCATGATCTCACAGTTTCTGAGTTCAAGCCCCACGGCAGGCTCTGTGCTGACAGCTCAGAGCCTGGAGCCTGCTTCAGATTCTGTCTCTGTCTTTTTCTGCCCCTCCCAGCTCATACTCTGTCTCTTTCTCTCTAAAAAATAAATAAACACTTAAAAATAAATTTAAAACAGGGTGGAACAAAATAAAGAATGGAAGGATAAATGAATATAATAAGAAACATACATAAATAAATCAGTTATTTCTACTGATAGTTGAGTAGGAATAGCAGTAGAAAATAATAAGGAATAAGCCTAAGAAGATCATGCCTCCTAAATATAGAAACTTTGTTGTTTAAATTCTTCTCTGGATAATCACACCCACCTATTCAGTTTTTAGGACAATGACTTCCTCAAGCACACTCAAAGGACCCTGAATAGTTTGACAAAGGGATTAGAAGCCATGCCTCATACAGAATAATTATCCAGGAAGAGATACGGGGGCAGGAAGAAGGGTATCATTGTAGACAGATTGTAATTGCTGATGCACATCTTTCCTGAGGAAAAGAGAGAAGGCAAGAACCACTTAGATGAGTGGCTGAGAGCATAGGTTTTGTAGTTGACACTGGCCAATAATCCTGGTTTCTGTCATTCATCAGCCAAGGCCTTATAATGTCACTTCACCTTTCTAGGCATCCTTCTACTCTGTGCCATAGCATGATAATGCTTGACTGTCACAGTAGTTGGGAGAACTGGATGGTAAAGTGTATGTAGAGTGAATACCACAGTGGTGGCACATGGTAAGCCATCCGTACATGCTAACCATCATGTTGGTGATGGTTTCAGTTGGTCCACTTGGATTTCAGGGGACCCATCACATTCTAAAATTTTACACAGCCCTCTCTGTCCATGAAAGAAAGTACTCAGAGAAATTGGCAGAGAACTTGCAGAAGTATCCATATATCAGTTAAGTTTGGACTAGCCGATTTCCTGGACATAGGAAGGGCCAGAATAGAAAGAGCCTTTAAGAGCTAAGAAGTACTCCACTGCCCACTTCACCCACGTGCACATGAAACTAATCTTGCTAGCATGTGTGTTCTCAAGTTGAACTTAAAAGAGGTTGAAGGCCTGGACTGGATTCCCAGATTTGTAGAGTCTTTTCCTCTACTCATGAAGACAGTGGTTCTGAAAGTGTGGGTCCCTGAATGGGACCCTGAACCAGAAACTCAGGACTGGGGGCGAGCAAAGCTTCCAGGTGGCTCTAATGCATGCCAAAGTTTGAGAACCATGACCTAAGACACTCAACTTTGCCACAACTTTGCCGGTAACTTTCAGTTGAGTGTAGGCTCAGCTTTTATCACTTTGCTCCAGAAAAGTCACAGTATGGATATAGCTAACACATGTTAAGGGTTTACTCTGTGCAAAATACCAAACAAATCACCGTGAATAAACACATTTGCTTCTCACAACAACCTTCAAAGAGTCAAGAAGGGCACTGGCTTATCACCTTGATGTACAGACGAGCAAACTGAGGCACAGAGTAATGTAAAACTTGCCCAAATTTCCACAGAGAGAAACTGAGGGAGTCAGGATATGAATCCAGGCAGTCTTCCCACTACACATGTGACTTCTATCACAATAGTCTGTACCTTCCCTGAGCTCCATAGCATACTAGTACCACAAGGAGGAGAAAAGAAAACCAGGCAACTCTTTTTCAACAATTCCTCCCTTTTTGGATTCTGGATACTCTGCTGTTCCCACCATTCTCCCAGGTCTCTGACTTTTCTCTAACTTTTTCTCTGCTTCCCTCACTAACCCTTCTTTCATCTTGTTTAAGTAGCCTGGACTCACACTTGGCATCAGGTGTAGACTCTCTCCAGGTCCAGTCCTTGTTTTCCTCTTTTTTTGCATTTCTGTGGGAAATCCCACACTTCTATATGGCTTCAACACTTGCTTCTTTTCAGATGACCTTCTCAATCAGTATTCACTTTGAACTGCCTTCTCAATTCTAAATCCAAGTTCTCAGCAGTTAGCCTGCATTTTTCTGTATAGAGGTCTTTCTAGAAGTTTCACTTCTGTAGCTGAACTTAGGTGTCTTCCAGCAACCTCCCTGCCTCTCCAGAACCCACTTCCCTAATTCCACTGATGGAGCTGTTGTTCTCCTAGACTAGGAGTCTCCTAGTTCCCTGGTTTTCTAGTCTCTTTGCTTTCATGAAGGTATCCAGCCCTATGTCTCTTCATATGGTCATGGTATCTTTGTCATCCTTGGGTTTTCCATACTGCACAGTTATCTCTTTAGGCTTGACGTGAGAGAATTCAGGTTTGTAGTCAAATGCATCTGCTTAATTACCAAAAAAGGTGTAAGTTAGTGTGCACAATAAGGTATGGTATTGTTCAGCTTTAATTAAAGAATAAAGTTATTAAATATTGGACAGGAATGGCCTTTAAAAAGCACCAAGAAAATAGGCAGCATAAAAGCCAGTGCATCTAAGAGGCATCTTCATGGAGACACCAGAGAAAAATAATTTTGATTTTCATTAATGACCAATTTCATTGAACAATGAATTGGACATTCTAGCATTTATAAACAAAGCATAATTATAAAGTGTTATTCTAATTGTTAATTAGGTCTGTACTCTAGATTAGTTTTTTTAAATATGTCCTCTAGATGCTACTTGATGCTAATTATCTGAGTTACATTATTATCAATTGAAAAACACTTTTAATTAATTCTAAATCCATTTAAATTAGCAGAAGATTTATAGAAATTTAAATGTGGTCTGATGCTATTTCTTTTTCCTTAGGAAGACATCAGATGATACATTTAGCCTTTTGAATTAGTTTTTGATGAAACTTTCTACTGCATCCTGGCGATAGATAATTATGATGAAAGGAGTGCAGTATTCTTAGTGGTGGTCTTTCATGAAATAGATGTGTGTGTGTGTGTGTGTGTGTGTGTGTGTGTGTGTGTGTCTGTGTATCATATATCCACTTCTATACCTAAAGCTCTAAATTTCGACTTCTGGCTTCATGGAGATACAGAGATGTGTGTACTTGTCCCTGTCCCTGCTCTCTCAAGGAGCTCTGTCTCTTCAGGAAGATAAGACAC